GCAGAGCTCCTGCCCTTTAACTGTATTTTGATGTTTTTGTGAGCTCGGACCGCTTCTGGGCGGAGATTTCCCCAGCCAATGAGAGAGCGCAGGTTCCGTGCCCAAGCGTGTCTGAGCGTGCACCAGTGCAAGCCTTGCCTGAACCTCTTCTGTGAAGCCTTCTTCCGTACCTCCGGGCTCCGTACACCCGGGAGAGTTGAGCCTGATCGGAGGGGCCAAATTTGAATGTGTGTTTACAAACAGCAACTGGAAAATCCTCCAGACCCTACCTTTAAAAACTTCAATGTTTATGTACATTTGCTTACTGTGATTTGGCAATATGCTCCTGTTCACTGTAATCTCTAATATTCATTCATTCATTCATTCATTCATTTATTTCCATAACTGCTTATCCAGCTGACATTGGGCAAGAGGCAGGGTACACCCTGGACAGGCCACAGACTATCACAGGGCTGATAAATAGAGACATTCACACTCACATTCACACCTGTGGCCAATTCAGAGTCAAAAGTTAACCTAACCTGCATGTCTTTGGTTTGTGGTACCTGGAGAAAACCCTTGCTGACATGGGGACGACATGCAAACTCGCAAAAACTTGCTGCTAGGGGACAGTGGTAACCACTGCACCCCTGGAAATCATTTGCAGTTTGGTGTTGTGGAACTTGTAAGTGTATGATTTTTAGCAACTTGCAAGTTATGGTAGAGTAAATGTTAACAGTGTGAACGTCACCTTTGCTGAGATTTTTGCCAAATAAGTGGGTAAGCAAAAAAGATGAGGCCAAATAAGCCAAAGTCCAAACTCCAATATTGAAAAGGTACACATTTGCTAACCTTTTTGTCTATTGACAAGATGCTTTGCCAAGTTGGACATATATAATGCTGTGGTTAATGTAGGTTTAAAACATATTTTATAGACGGGCTTTATGGAGTCCTTGGGTTCACCCTGACTTTTCTGCTGTGTGAGGGAAATATTGCCATATTTGGCTTCATGTTTTTGCTTTGTTAACAAGCTGTAGATGGTCAGCAAGAGCACTTGTATTTGCAGCCACTTATCACTCAAGTCTTTTACAGCAGCCTTAAAGCTGTGAATGATGAATCACCATGGCAGCAGCTGCTGTACACACAGTGCCTCTAGTCTCAGTCAGTATGTTTACATGCGCAGTTAAGTTAAGCTACGGTTATAGCTCGGCTAGGCCATATAATTGGACTACAGTCCTTGTCCCAGTATAGATTCTTTGACCGAAATATGTGAAATATGACTCTGCTACATTAGGTGGTGATATGGCCCCTCTCATCTTGTTAGTATTGGACCTTTTTCCGGTTGACCTATCACATCATAGACCAAACAATCACCATTCCATGTTTTCCCTCCCTCCATGTATATATTTAACACTTTCAGCTCACAAAGCATAAACTGTGTCTCCTTGTTTGTCCAAAAATGCACGGCTCTGGATGTAGATTTCGCCATGTTGTTAGCGACTTCTTCTTCTTTTATGAATTTAATGCTATTTGACTTCAGGGTCAAAGCCCAGGGGGGGGGGGAAACTGTGGAGCATGTGCAGAGCGACTCAGCCAGTTTGGGTCCAGCTGACTGTATACATGCAGGAGTAATTCAGCTCCCAATAGCATTTTGAGAAATTCAATTTAGTAAGATTTCAATCAGACTAACATATTTACATGTATTTTAAAATTACACTTGGACCAACACAATAAATCGATTTTCTCTATTGTCATGTAAACATACTAAGTATTATAATCACTCAGGACCCTACTTAAACAATCTGCATTGCAAGGTGCAAGTGCATTTAGGGTGTGTCCAACTCAACTTTTGCTAGTTAAAGGGACCATAGTGTGGGTGCAGAGTAAGGTGCAAGGGGAAAAGGGTTGTATTAACTCAATTAATTTTAATTAATTAATCCTAGGTGTGTTTTGGGCACAACATATAATGATAATTGTTTAGTCCTCTGTTTTGACGTTTTAATTGTTGAGTCCTCTGTTTTGAAGATCAGAAGACAAGCAGTAGAATTCCAGTATTACAGTAGTCTGTGTCATTCATGAGAAGAACAGGCCTTTTGGACTGGAGTAACTTGACAATGTGTAACCTGGGGCTTCCCATGGCCTGAGATTTTAAGAACTTTGTGGGCTTAAGTAGTATGTTCTGCCTTGTGTTTCAACTGTGATTTACAAACACTCCATCAAAAACAGACTATAGAGTTTCTATGTTTTTTGATAAGTAAATGACCATAAGCAGCTATTGGACAGACAACACTGTGGGAAGTGGAGCTATTTTTATCTTCTTCTTTTTTTCATGCATATGAGATACCAGTTCATTTGGCAACAGAGAATCAGGAGCAGTGTTGAGGCTAGTGTTGACACAGGCACAAGGTGGCTGACCCCAAACAGCAGCGGTGGAAGAAGTACTCCAGTTCTTTGGTTAAGTCAAATAAATTTAATTAAATGTATGTAATGCCAAATTATAGCAAAAGTTATCTTCTGACACTTGTAATAGAGAGCAGGTCTAGCACCATACCCTTTAATTTAATTTACAGAGACCAAAGAATTTCTTCATTGAGCAAACACTTGGGGACGACGGCAAGGAAAACTTCATTTTACGAGGCAAAAACCTCAAATAGAACCATGCTGTAGATGGGCAGTGATCTTTCTCGACCAGTTGGATAGAGTAAGACAGAGAGAAAAGCACAGCAACAACATTTATAACAATAATCCTTTAATTTTATAGTTACAGTTTAGTAATGTATGTAAGACTTGCCACGGAATGAATGGTGGTTACATAAACCTAAAAACTAGCCATAACTTAGCCTATTAGCTTAGCTCTACTGACCAATCAACAGACTGCAGTGTTCACAGCTCCACCTTTTAGTACCAGATATGTGGGCTAGGTACCCCAACAGAAGGGGTACCAAAAATGGGGATGGTACAGAATGGTCCCATTGTTACCATCCACAACTTTTCACAGTGGAAACAGAAAAAAGTGTACCGAACTGTACCGAACTGAGTTTTAAATGTGGGCTTGGTTGTTGTCACTCACTGCTCTGTCCAGCACTCGCTGTATTTCCTCATCACCGGTGACACAGAGGGAAGTCTGCACCTTGTTTATCGTCTTTGGAATGGGGTTGCACGCCAACATTTTCAGAACAAAATAGAACAGGCTGTAGTGAAAGTCTCTCTCCATGGGATATTTAAGAATAGCTGGTTTGTGCATTTAGTCCTCCTCCATAGCCCACAGGAAAGATGCTCTGCAACGTTTTTTCCCCCAAGTGAGAATTAGAATATATGCAGTTCACATAATCCAGTCGAAATTATATATATTTTTAAATCTTGAAGATCCACTCATCACTAAAAGTGTATGTCATCCAAGAGAGACAATGAAAACTAATGGAATGGTCAGAGTTGTCATATTGTAATTTAAGGTGTGTTGATGGATTCACGTCGTCAACTCTTGTGTTGAGTAACGCTACAAGTAAATGTTCCACCTTAAAAGTTGCCAGCAGTCTACCAAGTGAATTAGATTATTTTTTTCTCAGACTACAGCTGCTGCGAGAGGCAGCAAAACATCCTTTCATTTTATAGTTACAGTTTACTAATATATGTAAGACTTGCCAAGGCATGAACAGTAGTTACACAAGCTTCAAAACCAGCCACAGCTCAGCCCTAACCAAGAGTGACCATCCTCTATTGACCAACTAAAGAACTGCAGTGTTTCTAGCTCCACCTTTTAGTACCGGATGTGTGTGTTAGGTACCCCAACAGAGGGGTGACCAAAAATGGGGACGGTAAGGAACGGTTCTGTTGGCACCATCCACAGCTTTACGCAGTGGAAATGGAAAAAATACATACCGAACTAAACTGAACTGTACCGCATTGCTTGGTGGAAGCAGGAACTAATATCAGTTACCAGTAATCCAGCATGACTGAAACTGTGAGATTCTGACCACATGTGATATGCAACAAAGATGTTGAAAAAGTGTAATAGTTTCAAAATTAGCAACGATGACCCCCAAAAAGTCAAAGGCCATATATGCCAACAGAACGTGGCATATATCACAAATCTACAATAAGCTTTGCAAATCACCTGAAAAACTTTAAGTAACAGCAAAGTATATTGTTTTCCAGCTATTTTGTTGAATGTTACTGTGACTTGCATGCTGATAGAGTGGCTAATTGTCACTTTATCTGGCGCACTGATTGAAAAATTATGTTTTCAAAAAAGTCTGACTTTTGTCCACTTCTCTGTTATTTTTGTGTTTCCTTTGTCTAAAGTTGTGGATGGTACCAACAGAAGTTGGTAGAACAGTCCTGTTCTTTTCTTATCCCTCTGTTGAGGTATGTAGCACACTGATCCAACACTAAAAGGTGGAGATAGAATAACTGCAGTCCATTGATTGGTCAAGAGAGAACCATTACTCTTGCTTTATAGGAAATGCACAAACCCTCTATTCTGAAATATCCTATTGATTGCGACAGAGCCTCCTAATCACTCCAACCTGTTCTTTTTTTGTTCTAAAAAAATATCAGCGTGAAACCCTGTTCTGTACATGATCAATGAGGAGGAGGCGTTCCTCTGCATTGTCTGGGAAGCTAAAATGCAGGGTAGTATACTGAAAGTATTTGGTGGAAATGCAGCTTATCTGTGCCCATGTCCCCAAGCTTCTTCCTCCTAAATAATGTGTCATTAAATCCTCACAACAATTTAAAGCAGCACAAATGATGGTAAAAACAGCTTGCATTGATTCCTTGCAGTTAGTCCTGTTAGAAAAACTGGATATTGATACTGTGGTGGGAGGATGTTGGGTAAAGACTCATGTAGTTTGTGGTCAGAAACAATATGTTCAATGGGGAGAAGGAGGGGCAGGAAAAACTGGTGATGTCAGCAGGGAAGAAGAGAAGGGAGGACCGCCTTGCTTTTTCCTTTTTCCTCCTCCCCCCTCTTCCCCTCCTCCCCTTCCTCTTCTTATCAGTGTGTGTCTGTGAGAGAGAGAGGATCAGTAGGTGAGTGGACGTAGGATTAAACAGTGTGACAGAATATGGGGGAAGAGAAAAAGGGAATTAGATCGGGATCGTGAGAAAAGTGAACTAGATACCTGGAAGAGGTAGCGGGTAAAGAAGAAAGGAGAGTGAGAGTATACAAACGAAGTGTCCACTTGGAACGAAGACTGAGCACTTGTTTCTGAAATTGGGTGGACCCCTCGCTAAAAAAACTTGACATCAACCACCACAGCTACCATGTACAGTGGATATGGAGGTATGTGCTAGTCTTGTAGAGCTCAGTGAGACAAGCTCATCTCTAATCATTAACTCTCTGTTTGTGAGGATTACTGTTGCTGGTTAACAGGTTTGTAACTTATTATGAGTTGATGGCTGGAAAGTGCAATCCAAATACCAAAAAAAACCCAACAAGATCTGTGACTGTTTTGAGTAGCAATTGTTTATCACAGTCATATGATTCAATGGAGACCCCCCACTGAAACCAGCAACATGCAGGCAGTCTCAAATTTTTATGTCACTTTTCATTATTTGACTGGTGCCGGAACAGTCCAACTGCTTGGCCTGTGGTATTGCTGCTAGGGTTGGGTACCATTTGCATTTGAACAAATACCGGTACATGTAGTGGAACCTATAACTCAGTACTGGTAACCAATGCTACCTACTTTACTTTCTGTAATAACAAAAATGTTGCTGCAGGGATGACTTAGTAGATTAAAGCGCAGTTCTGCTCCTCTACTCTTCTTATCACACATAGAGCTAATCTGTGTGTGTGTGTGTGTGTGTCTGTCTGTCTGTCTGTCTGTCTGTGTGTCTGTGTGTCTGTGCGTACATGTCTACCTGTCTAGCAGTGGCACTAGGCTATTACTAAAATACTATATAAAAGAAAATAGACTAAACTATCATAGCAGTTCAGCATTTTTGTCACTGGGAAACCAACTGAGCAGCTGCAGAGCTTCATTCAGGGCATCTCCGCCTCTTGTCTGAAGTTGTATATATCCACAGAGCTCCAATGCCACCCTCGGAGCTCTGAGACTCCAGACTTTGGGGCGCTTCACAGCATTTCTGCCTCTTCTAAACATGGTGGTGTTACTCAGATGCCCTCTCTGGTACTGAAATTTGGCATTGATAGATTTAATGTGAATCGGTACTTGGTAGTACCAATGTAATGTGGTCGATACTCTTAAAAGTCCCGAGTTTGGTAGTTGCTGCTCACAGCCTTCTTGAGAGCTGCTCATACGAACACTTTCACACTCAACACTGTGCTTTTTTGAGTCCTGAGCAATAATGTCCGATAGGCCCAAATGACTACAGATTTTTATGCCTCGATGCCAGTGATAGGCGTGGCTGGTGGCATTATTGTTTTCAGGTTTTGCATCCATATGTACGTCCATCCCATCCTTGTGGACATGATATCTCAAAATTGCCTCAAGGGAATCTCTTAAAATTTGGCACACATGTCCACTTAGACTCAACAATGAACTGACTAGTCTTTGGTGGTCATAGGTCAAAGGTCAAGGTCACTATGACCGTGTCTGTCTCATTTTTGTGAATGTGATATTTCAAGAACACCTAGAGAGAATTTCTTCAAATTTGGCACAAACATTCACTCAGACTCAAGCATGTAATGATTAGATTTTGATGGACAAAGGTCAAGGTCAGTGCAACATCGTCTATCTCTCTCTTGTGAATGCAATATCACAAGAACACCTTGAGGGAATTTCTTCAAATTTGGCTCAAATATTCACTTGGACTCAACCATTAACTGATTAAATTTCAGTGGTCAGAAGTCAAGGTTGTGTGACCTTGGATTTGTCTCATTGTTGTGAACACTATATCTTAAGAAGACCTTAAGAGAATTTCTTCTTATTTGAGACAAACATCCACTTGGACTGAAGAATGAGCTGATTTGAATTTGATGGTTGAAGGTCAAAGATCAAGGTCAGTGTGACCTCAAAAAATATGTTTTTGGCTGTAACTCAATAATTCATATGCTAATCATGACAAAACTTCACACAAATGTCTAACAGGATAAAATAATAAAGTAATGACATTTTGGGGCGCTGGTGGCTTAGTGGGTAGAGCAGGCGCCCCATGTACAAGGCTGTTGCCGCAGCGGCCCGGGATCGAGTCCAGCCCGTGGCCCTTTGCTCTCTCTCCCCCTTTCACACTCATCTGTCCTGTCAATTAAAGGCTAAAATGCCCAGAAAAATATCTTTTTTTTTTAAAAAAAAAAAAGTAATGACATTTTATATCCAAAAGGTCAAATGTCAGCTTCACTGTGACGTCATAATGTTCTGCATAAAACCCTTTTCTGGCCATTACTTAATGCCATATCTCAGGAGAACAGAAGGGGAGACATTTGGTTAGATACTGAATTGGGTGTCCACCTTCAATGTGTGTTAAGCATCAATGTTTTCACAGACATGGATATAAACTTGAAGAGAAGCTTGACTGCTGCGTAGAGGCATACAACTACAGGGTGGTAATTCTAGTTTATTATGTTTAGATATGAAAAATGTTCAATTATGTTGCTATTCTAAGCAGGGCTGCACAAGATGTCATTTCAGCATCTGCATTGTGATGTGCGCATGTGTGTTAGTCAACTGGGCTAGCAAGTGCCACAGACACAGTAAAGTGCATGCTTTTCCAAAGCTACAGTAGTCAGCAGAAAGTGTCTACACAAGCTCAGGTTCCAGTATAACAACTGTAAAAAGGGCTGTGCTGCGTTCACTGCACAGAACAAATAAAGCATCTGTTTAATACAACGTTATCCCAATGTCTCTGATCATTGTTCAATGCAGAGTTGCTGGACTATAATAGCTAGTTACCAGTGACGAGTTAGGCTCATGCTAATTGAGTTGGCCCAAAGGAGCCAGAGGTCTCCTGACTACGGCTGTGGGCCACAAGGCTGCAACATTTACATAACATTAACATTGTAACATTAACATTGACGCAGATCTACAAGAGAAGTCTGTCCGATATACAGCCAACACATGCCCTGCTAGTAGTCGACCTCAAGCTACTCAAGAATGTTTTGTGAATGACATTTGTAAATGTCATCACAATGTGTGTTTTGTCTCATCAACGACCTGTCTTTGTTGTGGGAAAAAAGGCAAGACATATATTTGTTACACAGTTTTTGTTGAAATAATATGATTCCCAACCCAAACCACATGTATTGTATGTATGTGTGTGTGTGTGTGTGTGTGTGTGTGTGTGTGGGTGGGCGGGTGGCATGAATGTTATCCGAAAGGAATTATTACTGTAGAAGTGTATATGCTGAAGTTACCATGACAGCAGTAAGGAAGTAAAAACAAATCAACTCAGCTTGAGAGGAAATGAAGGCTGTTCTTTGCCAATACCCTGGCTCTAAAGTCTAAATTGCGTTGTACCACCTGTTTGTAACTGCATCAATAAGTTGGTCTATGAGGTCCTTCCAAGATTCCTAGGCTACAGTCACTAATGTTTATGTTTTAAAATACATATGTAGTGCTTATTTACGTCTTGTGTCAACACTGCTTCCAGCATTATTGAACCCCTTAACATTGACTTTTTGAAAATGCTGCAGACCCCATTTTAGTTTGAAAACTCTGTCATTGCATTTTGAAAACAATGACACAGACATCCACATTTACCTTCAGATTGGAGTTTATCAGTCTTAATGTATATTCCCAATCTATGTTTTCCACTGCCAGTACAGTTCCAATTTGTCACTGGTCTCTCTGGTCTTACTCTCCAACTGCAGTGTTGACAATCTTATTCCTGTTTACACTAGTACACACATGCCCACTTTGCATGAATGTACATGTGATACCTGTTTTCAAGCTTTTTGGTATAGGTGAAGATTATATCTGAAACTGTGCTAAAACACTCATGTCTATTGAAATCATTTTCAACGCCATTTTAAAATTAAAATTTAGTGTTGATGTAGTGGTAGTAAACAGCAGCTAGTTTGAAACTAGTGATTTACTAAATACAAAATACACTTCAGTTTTCACAGGAAATTTACAGTTTGTATAGCCTCTTTCAAAATAAACACACTACGTCAGTACAACACCATGATTTGACTTTTTTTTTTTTCATTCAGCAACAAATGCACGTGATTAAGTTTTGCCAACTTAGGCATGTGGTTAGGTTTAGGCAGCAAAAGCACATGGATGGGTTTAAGTAAAAAGAACAGGGTTTGGCTTTACAATCACAAGGAAAGCAAACACTAACCTTCCTGGGAGAAAGTCAGTGGTTATTGGATCCATCCACCACTCCTCTTGCCTGCCCTACTTAGACCTTCTACCACCTTAACTTTCGTTTTTACCCCGCCACCTTTCCTTGACGCGGCCACGGGCCATTAAACAATAACGGCGACTGGCCATGATTCATCGAGGTGTGAAAGGACAGCTTTTTAGTTGGTTTCTGATGCAGGAAGTCACTGACCAAGCGCCAATTTTTGATGACTTTGGAGTGAGACCAGCTTGATTGTTCAGGAGGTTTTCACTGGGAGCGAAATTATCTGCAGAGGTCTCTTCCTCTCCAAAACAAAGCATCATCAGGACCCATGTGGGGAAATCATGGTGACTGACTGAAGTTAATGCAGCAGCACTTCAATGATATCTCTGTTCTATCTGCTATCATAAAATCCAGTGGTTGGTTTGTTTTCTTTCACACCACAAGCAAACCACACCAGAGTTGGTTTGGAAGCAGACTGAGACCCGACTTTTTGAGCGGTCTTGGTTTGGTTGTTTAGTCCGCACCAGGGTTCGACTGACAGCTTTCACACCAGCCAAAACGAACCGCACTAACTGTGTTTATATTGTGAGTTTGTTTTAACTGAACCAAACAGGTCAGGTGTGAAAGCAGTGTTAGGTGTATCTATCGGAGAGCCAGGCCAGCTGTTTCCCTCCACAGTGTAACATGGTGAGACTCACAAAGAATCAAAATGAATGCAGCAGAACCAGTGATATCTTTGTTTTTAATCTACAGAGCTTCTTTCTTGTTAAAACCTGACATCTACACTACCCATAATAAAACCAGACTGTGAACAGCTGGGTTGGAGATTTGGGCGTGTTGTGCTAGTAGTGGCTAATATAGTCTTGAGCCTCTAGCCTGCAGCAGAGATGAGCATTTGGCTACAGAGGTATGCTACAAATACTTCTTACTAACTCCACACCTCCAGACTCTTCTTCTTTCTTCAGTCCCAATCCCAGGTCACTTGAAGCAGTTTTTTAACAGTAATAATCCAATGCACTTTGTGCAAAACTT